CAGGTGGATGGGACCCAAGAGAGCAAGCACTAGGGCCAAAATTCTCAAGTGAGCAGCTAAAGTTAGGTGCCAAAATCCACTATCAGATGGATTTTTTTTGAGGTGGTGTGTCATTGAAGAAGTGGTACCTGCAAGTATTCGTATATCTAATCTCTACTTAACCAATCAAACACAGCTTTTGAGATTAGTTGTAGTATTCAAGCATCAAATCCCTGTTGGCAGAAAAGAAATAGGACTGTTTTCTATGAATTTGAATTTCACTTGTGGAATATTCTCTAGAAAGAAGGCCTCAGGGTGAAGGCCTTGGTATGACAACCAATGCAAATGTAGGAAGCTGCCTCTCTGCCTTCTGCAGAAATGATTTTTAATGACACTATAAGGATGGATTGAAAATCAGGAAGTGGAGGGGGTGGGTAGGTAAAGGGTGGCGAGATGCCAGCGACAGGGGCCTGGCCAAGGGGCTGTGGAGCAGAGGAAGGCAAGGAGCACCGCTCCTGAGCAGGGGTCTTAACAACACAGCTTTAAAAATGATTCTAAATGGGTGTGTGAGACGTGAACTACAGTGTCTTCTTTATGAAGTGCTCTTGGAAAAAAAAAACTTTTTTTTTTGGTCAGAGATTCAGTTAGAACTTAAAAAAAAAAGTGATAATAATTGTAAATATGTCTGGTACAGACAGAACTCTCTTGATCTTACATTAAAAAAAAAAGACAAAACTAGACCACTCTGTTGCAATGAGCATATGTATAAATTAAGTAGAATTTTGCAGAGAGAATAAGTGACAATTAGTTGAAGGTTTCCAGATGCATTATGATTTTTTCTATATATTAATTGCTTTATTTTCACATGTGCTGTTTCCCATCGTTACGTAGCGGGTGTCCACAGCCTTCATGAAACAGAAATGTCACTTCCCAAGTTACTACTTCCTGATACACCCTGTTCGCTTCAGTCCTTCAGCTGAGGGCATCAACAATTTCAGTAAAGCTATAGACCAAACAGAAAGCCCTGCTGTCACTAAGGGCCTGGCTCTGTAAGGTGCCCCATCTATAACGCAGCCACCACTGGAAAAGGGGAATATGGTGATACCTGACCTGAAAAAGATGGGATTTTCAAGGTCATGGACTGTGCAACATTATCACATACATGTAGAGTGATGAAGAGACCAATCCATATAAACGCAGCTGGAGATCTTATCTGGGCTGAAGCCAGGATTGATTTGCTTTCCATTCACTGCCTCTACATTTACAATGTCCAGGCGTAGGTAAAGCTGCCTGTGTGCAACAATAAATTTCCGATATTAAGGTCAACTCATTCTTTAGTTCACTAGCACTAGCTCCTTTCAGTTATTGGGTAGAATTTCAACTACTGCTGCTCATTGCTAGCTGTTCTGCCTTGATCTGGGCTGGTGAAAGGGCCCAGAAGGACTTGCCTTCTCTTCCCACGTCAGGACAGACACGCTATGAGTCTGCACGTTGCATTTTTGTTGCCGTCTTGAGGTCTGAACCGCCACGCTGCTGGCGGGAAGCAGAGATTCGAGAGCTTCAGCTGGAGCTTAACACCCTACGTGAGACGTTCGTGTTCTCTCCTTGTAGGAAGCACCCTGATTTCTGGGCTGCAGCTGCACAAGGGATGGCCAGCTGGGATGGTGGCATGACAGGCCGTTCAGGAAGAGCACGGCTGGTCTGAAGCGCTGGAGCTGCTCTGTGCTCCTTCCATGGCTGTGCTGGTGAGGGCACTTCAGCTCCGGAGCCTGAGGCGGTCCTACCTGCTTCCACTGTCCACAGACATGGCATGAGGTCCTACTTGGGCATTACACCCTCCTCCTTCTAGCTCAAAACCAAATCTCTTGTGTATGGCAGATATAGGAACAAGTACTGTGGTAACAGGAACAGCTGAGACCTGATTTTTTCCTTGACAACATTATGGAACAACACAGTCCAATACATATAATCCAGTATTATTAGAAGGAAGAGGGAAGAATCTGATAAAGATTTTGATCTAGGTTCTATACAGCAAAGTGATTTAGAGTATGTCAGAAATGAAGTTGCTTCAGTTTTTTTTAAAGCTGGCACTTTAACATGAATGAGGTTAACCCTGGAATATTTCAGGCCAGGAAAATGCTTGGCTTTTTCTTTTTTATAATGATCTGTTAAGTGATCTAAAAAGCTGCAATGATGAAAGAACAATGATTACTATATAAGGAAAAGAATTAGAATAGCCACAATCTGCTGGGTTTGTCTTGGCAGCTAGACCTTTTGAAATTTTTCTGGTGCTTTCTCATTTGTGTGTCTGCTTCTCTGACATGGCTTCATGTAACTTTAACTTAATAAGCAACCTAGCTACTACTATTTTGAATATGACGACTTCTAGCTCTTAAGAGGAAGATGGTGGCTTGACACCTCCGTAAGAGCATGCATGTAAAAAGAGAACTGCACCTACCATGGTTGAAGCTTTGGAAACTTTTTGGAAGCTTCGATGTCCAATGATAGTGAGCTCTCCTTCAGGCCTCCAAGGAGTGAGCTGTTCCCTGTCCTGTGGGAGGTGGTGTACCCAGCGAGAGCACCATCTACAGCTGAGTGTAAGTCAGTGCCTGTTAATTGTCCGTGTTAGTGCTACACCTTGGGAAAGAGGGGAGCACGTGGGTGTGATCTGGGATTTAGCTCTCAACATCTCTCTTTCTGCGCTTTGAAAGGTGAAGAGGCCTAAACCAACAGCCATATAAGGCTCTGGGAGTGCTCCCAATGTACACGGTGAGTGTTGGAAAGGCCTCAAAGAGACCAAAGTCTCTTTGATCTGGATTCATGTCCTTCCCTGAACTTTAGGACCTTCACAGACCTTAACCTTTGGGCTCCCTGTGTAGTCAGAAGAGTGAGATGCTCTTCCAGCTGGTGTCTCTTGCTAGTTAGGATATATCTGAGTATTTGTTCCTTCATGCAAGAAAGGCACAAGCGACTTCAAATTACTTCCTTTTAAAAGCAAAAACAAAATAGGCTGAAAAAAAAAATGTAGTTTAGGAAAAAAAGAATTGTATCCAGAGAAATGACTGCATCAAGATTTCTCAGATCATGACATTGCTACAGAGATGCTTGATTAGGATATATAAAAAATCCGAAGAATATCACTTGCTCTTTCTTCTTTCTGGTATCTTGCAGAAATAATCCTCTGTTCCACTTCAAGAAAGGATGTTGCTTTATTCTTCAACTAATTTCCCTTCCTTCTTTAATGTATGTTTCCACTGATGTGCTCAATGGCTTTTTTTCTCCATTGAGAGGCAGAAAATTGCCTACCTTTAAACACACGTGTAAAAAAGACATCTAAGCCACCCAAGGAGCTTACTTTTCTCTTCCTGATGCACTGAGCTTTAAAAGCTACATCTTTACAATAAAGCAGGAAAATGGTGGCAGTCCAATTACATGCAGTTTTGGTAGAGTAAACACTTGATTATTCAACAATGAGTCATTTCTGCAGTAACCTCATTCTGTCATGCCTGTATCACATCTGCTAATTCTCCAAAGCAAACATCATAACCTGCACTGATTCAAGCCATGAATACAGCCTCGTGGTTCATACGTAACATTCTATTCAACCGAGGAAGCCACGTGCTGTAAGTTTAGAAGGCCAAAGTACTTGTTCTCAAAGAGAAAATATCATAGAGAGCAACGACGTTAATTAGGGAAAAGCCTGTTTGTTCTTCAGCTCCTCTCACAGTAGCTGGTTTCTCCTTTATTCCTCAAGTCCCTCTTGGTCTCCTTCAGAAGCCTTTGTGTTTTGGAGTGGGCTGTATTTGGAGCATAGCGTGCCGGAGCCGGGTCGTGCTGCTGCCCTCGGAACTGCCTCCCTGCCTTCTGCCGTGCTGCTCTTGACCTCAATCAGAGCTCAGGTGGCCGCAGGGCAGCGGGACCTTCTCTTCAGAGCAGCTTCTCCTTGCGAGGAGGGCGCCGAAGGCCAAATGCAGCTCCCGGGTTGGAATGCAGCTCCAGGTGGCTCCTGACTATCCAGCATTTTTGCAACCACTCAAACATTTTCGGTTGTAACATGTAGTTTTATTTTTTATTATTTTTTCTAATTGTAATTTCATCACTATTGATGGAAAGGAGAGGAAATGGGAAATAAGGATAATGGTAGTTTGAGTACAATAGAGCAAACATTCAATAACCACCTCTTTGTAAGTGCTGTATCTAGGAGCACTCTTCATACGTTAAAACCAAGTGGAGCCAGTCTATTGAACTGCATACACACTGCCACATAAAATGAGCCAGAGCAAGTGCTAGCTGAATTTAGCCCCTTTTTCACTTTGAAAACAGGGAGATATAATATATGCAGTAAAGATGATTTTATATTTTGCAGAGAGCCATCTGGGGTCTATCATCCAAAGACATGGTCTTGTTTGATGCAGAAGGGCTTGAGAATTTCCATCACGTACGGGCTGCAGCGCACTTGGTGCTGTAAAGATACTGACTGCCCACAGACCTTTCCAGTGCATAGACTTCAGTCTGCCAGTCACTAAATCTTCTTGAACTATCGTGGTGGTTTTGCTCACCCTCCTGCTGCTCTAATGTCTGTGCTTTTCCATTAATAGATAGGCTAAGGAGGGGATGGAAAAGCCCCATTTTGGACCCATTGCATTCCTGACATGCATATGTGAATACGTGGTGATGGCTTGAGCTTTTCTGTTGCAAAGATCTTGACAAAAAAAAAAGAAAAGAAAAGAGAAAAAAGAACACTCAATATTTTAATCTAGTTATTGAAATTAGTTTCCTAATAAACCACAGGTTTGTTTAAAATAAGAGCAAGTAATACAGGATGCTGTGGCTTTCTTTGTAAGACCAGTGTATGAGATATTGCATATAATGGAATCATGAATTTACAGATTCACATCACATCATTATATGATGAGCTATAAATATTTATACTATTGATCTGAAAGGATGCTGCAGTTCCTTCAACAGTTATTC